GGACTTCCAAGTCTCCAAGGTTGAGGAACACTGCTTTAAAGGGGTCTAGATTTCCAACTCCCAGAATTGCTATGGGGGAGGGGAGGATTCTGGGAGTTGAAGTCCTCCAGACCTCTTCAAAAGTTGCCAAGGTTGAAAAACACCGGCTCAAGATCCACCCCAATCTGCTTTCTTCTAAGCCAAAGGGGATTTAGAGCTGGGCCTCCAACCCAGAAGGGATCACAGAAATCTCTCTGGAACAATATGCCCAAGACTTGATCCTCACAATCCCTCCCCCCCACTCTCCATACCCAGCACGGGAACTAAATCCACGGGCTCTTGAGATCTAGCCTCCTGCTTCTGGTTTTGGGATGAGAGCTGGCCATCTTAAGTTTGCCCCCCCCCCCTTCCTTGCTGAGGATCAGGCTGGCACCTTTCCCTCAGACAGTGCCCAGAGGGGGGCCGTTTCCCTCCTTCCCATCCCTCCTGCTCTTCCTCCAGATCCCTTTGACGTCAAGAGAGCAATCTTCGGTTAGCGGAGATCTCCCCCCCCACCCTGGACACCTCCCTCCCCCTTTTGTACGATGAGTCACTCAGCCTCAGCGTCATCCCCCCCCTCCCCTTCTCCGGAAAAAGTGGAACACTCCGTGACCAGGCCCTGGCGTGCCACAGGATTCTTGGCAGCGCCAACATGTCCTTTCCTAAGCTGCTTGCTGCCCCCCCCCCCAGGCTATGGGGTGGGTGAGCAGGGAATGGAAATGTTGCCCCCTTCCAACACCCACGATTTGCACCCCAAAACCTGGAGGTCACAAAATGGGAGCCTCTCTGTGCAGGGCAATCAATAAGCACCCTGGTTTGATTCAGGCAGCCCCTTTAAGGGGGGACCTCCAAAGGTATCTAGACCACCCTCTTGCTCGGTGATGCAGTCTACTAAAACACTATGGATCCCCCAGGCTATCCAGCTTGGGTTTCGAACACCTCCAGCAAAGGGGATACAGGCCACATATCAGAAGACCACCTCTCTCCTAGTGATTGACAGCTCTTAGTTTCAAACAAATCCATCCTAATCTCAAGCGTGACTTTCATTCCCTCTGTAGGTGTCATTCCCGATTTTCATGCAGAACGAGTGGGGTAGAAGATCTTTAAAAAGCCCATCCGAGAAGGATTTTTTTAGGCTGCAAGAGCAGAGTTTCAGAAGAGAAAGAAAAGAATAAAAAAGCACAAATGATAATTAACTGAACTGGAAAATGCCCCTGAGGTCATCCAGTCTGACCCCCCTGCCCAAAGGTGAATGAATGTCAAAGAACAACTCTTCAGCAAAGGAAAGAAAAACTCCCTTCGGAGACAGACCATACATACCATATCAAAAACACCGGGAAGTCTTTACTAATGTAAAATATATATATATATATATATTTCCCCATTGATCAGACTCCTGCCCTCTAACCCAAAACAAATCAGGTCTTGTTCCTCTTTAGGTGTGACAAACTCTTTAAATGTTTGTCCTATTTTGGATACACATATTTATAGCCCTTTCATGCTTTCCTCCCCTCCACCCCCCTTGCCAACATATAGCTAGCCCTCAAACTTAGGATCATCTGTTCAACAACCATTCGAAATTATGACGGAACTGGGGGGGAAAATGTGATTTATCATCACACCATCGCAATGTCCCCAACAGTCGCACCATCAAAACCTGGGAGGTCGGCAACAGGCATGGATTCACAATGCTTGCGGTGTTACCACTGCAATCACCACCTTCCCAGCTGGCTTCCAACAAGCAAAGCCAATAAGGAAGCTGGATTCTCCCTTAACAGACAGCTGGGGAATTCTGGGAATTGAAGCCCAGGACATCCATAAAGTTCCCGAGAGTGAGAAACACTGCTCCAAAGGGACGGGAGCTAGTAAAAGAGGAAGAAAATCCGGAGCGAAGGTTCATTTGACTCAGAAAACAAAGTCCAGCTTCCAAAAGAGAGAGAGAGAGATAACTCAGATTAGACTCCAGGTTTTTTTTCCCCCCGGTGGCATTCAACCACGCCTGGCCTAACTTAACCCTGGCTTCTCTCCCAGCTGTGGGTGGTGGCATTGTAAACACAGAGTGAGCTGGGCCTGATAAATCTCCTTGCCAGCAACGCCGCCGACCTCATTTCATAACCAGGAATGCCCTCCGGGTGTCAGATGATAACCCCCCCCCCCGTCCCAGCATCCACAGCCAGAAGAAACAATGGGATTTGTAATACAATCAGGAACATCGGGCAGGCTATGTAATCGCTTCTTAGTTGAATAGATGGGGGCAAAAGTAGTAAGCCCTTCCTGCTTTCCTTCTTATCCCTCCCTTGGTGAGGCTGAGGAATTCTGGGAGTTGAAGTCCACAAGTTTTAAAAGGTGCCAAGTTTGGGGAGGGGGGAATTTTTTTTTTACTAGAGCCCCTGCTCGCCCTTCCTCAATTTGAAGCCAATCAGAGGGCCGAGGGAACCCCCTCACCCCGAAAGCAGCAAGGGCCACATGTGGCAGGTAGTAGGACAGCACTCCTCAGCATCATTCAGCCCCCCCAAATTAATAATTAAGAGCAAGAAGTATCCAAATTTACCAAATATGGGCTTCCTAATACTGGGTCTTCATAATACCTGGGGATGGGTTTAATTTAATTTCCCTTTGAAAGATTGATCCACAAACATGTCTTGTTGGCCAGTGAGGCCCAAAGGCTAGGAATAAGAAACATCCCGGCAACTTTTAGCTTTTTGTGTGCTTTCTCCCATCCCCCACCGCCCCCCCCCCGGTCCAATTTCTTGAGAAATAAGCCATGCCAAAAGTCTTTTCTAAAGCCCAGAACTCTTACAGATTAATCCACAGACCACAGTGCACCCTTCGTCTCTTCTTCTTCCCTCCTCATCGCTTCTTCCTTTCATCTCCTGCCTTATAATATCAGAATGGCAACTTAAAAAAACTTCCTGCTTTATAATATTATTGTGGGCCATCGATTCACAGAGGCTGGGAAGGGACCTCGGAGGTCTTCTAGTCCAACCAAAGCCCTATCAAACCCCACTGCCTGCATTGCCCCTTCCTCTCTTCCAAGAAAGACTACCTTAGTCTCACGGCGAATTCTCACTCCTGAAAATATGCCAACCTGTCTGGGCGGAAGAGGAAGGAATGTGCAGATAACAAAGGCAATTTAATGAGAGCCAGAGCTGTAGACAAACAGAAGGCCAGCTAGCAAGTCACCCTTCACCGTTCTTTAGTATCCTTCCTGCCCCCAATCCTCTATCTATTTCCTCCAAAGGTCTCCCTATTCCATCCAATCCTTCCTCTTTTGCATTTTAAATACAGTAGACTTTGACAGACTTCCATACCCCTCCTTCCACCCCTCCTCCTCCTCCTCCTCCTCCTCCTCCTCCAGGGAACTCTGCAATCCCTTAACTCTTCTTGCAACTCGGTTTTCTAAAATTGCAAAAGAACAGGAAGGGATGTCACGTCGGGTTAAAAAGAAGAAAAAAAAACGAGAAGAGTCCCGTGCAACAAGGGAAGGGACTGGATTGAGTGAAGAAGAAGTTGGAAGGGAAGAAACCTTTTTGGGTGTGTTTGCAAGGTGAGGGAGGGGGGAAGGCTGGGGGCAGCAGAAGTGAAGGATGCGAAACCCTTTGGATAAGGGAGGGGGGAAAATGAGCAAGCATGCAATTAAAAGGAAAGGGGCTGTTGAGACAGCCTAGGCAAGAATGTTAAGGGCAGAGGTGGCATTCAGCATAAATGTGCGTGCACATGGCAAACCAGTGGCAAACAAAAGTGAAACCCACCGCTGGTTAAGGGGGTCCAGCTTGAGTAGGGAGTGAGGAAGTCATCCTAGTAACAGTAACAAGAGTTGGAATGGACCTTGGAGGTCATCTAGTCCAATCCCTTGCTCACGCAGGAGACCTGTACTAGGGATTCGAACCACCGACCTTTCTGATTGATAGCTCTCTTCCCAGCGGGGGAGACAGCTAAGAAATAGTATTATCTGGCTGGAGAAAAACTCTTATTGTTCTCAGCTCTTTGGAGAAGCAACTTTGTCTAAAAGACTTCCTTTAAAAAGGGGGTGAGGAGAGAACCTTTGAGAATAAGGCCCACAAAATCAAAGCCAATCTTTCTACACCTCACCTCAACCAGGCTTCACCAAACTTCGCAATTGTGATCGAGCGCACCACAAACCTACTCACAGTACAGGTAGTCCTTGACTTACGTCCACAATTGAGCCCCGAATGTTGCTAAGTGAGACATCTGTTAAGTGAGGTTTTGCCCCATTGTATGACCTTTCTTGCCACAGTTGCTAAGCGAATCACTGCACTCCCCCACCATAGAGTCTCCGCCTAGCGTGGTGTCCTTTTTCCTCTACCTGTCCTAACCGAAAGCCCCTATCCATTGTGGCGCCGACTGGCGACAGGGAGACACAGCAGAGGGATGAAAGAGCCACATGCGGCTCCAGAGCCATAGGTTGCCGACCCCGGAACTAGGTCATCAAGTAGAGGATAGGTTTTTATTACTATTATAATAATAAATAAAACCATAACAGAACTGAGTCATAAATGCAAAGAGAAAAGCAACTCCTTAAATAGAAGGGAAATAGGCTAAAAACCCATTCCATCTTCCCATGGACTAGAATCTTGACAGAAATATTTTGCTTTGTTTCTGATAAATTTTAAACTTAAGAGGAACCAATCCTGGTGTCCTTTCAAGGTTCGTGGCCTGAGGTGACAAACCACTTGGGACTCCTGGGGATTGTCATCCAAACTTCTACAGCAGTGTGTCTCAACTTCAGCCACTGGAATTCTGGGAGTTGAAGTCCACATATTTTGAAGTGGCCGAGATGAAAAACCATGGAGGATCTACTCCCTTTGCAGTGACCCCATAGTGACAGTCCTATATCCACTATAATTCCGCCCCCTTTTTTTTTGCAGAGGTGTCTGCACCTCTTAAAGATTGAAGAATTGGCCCAAAACAGACTCGTTTAAAAGAGAACAGATCATTTATCTACCTGTGTGGCATCTTACCTGAGTTTCAGTTAAACTTTCTAATGCTTGCATCACCGACTGTTCTGGCCTAGATGCTTGAGACTGTGGAAGAACAGAAGAGAGGAAGTTTAAGTTTCTGAATTTCCTGCCCCTTATAGAGCAGAGGTCTCCAACCTTGGTACCTTTAAGACTTGTGGACTTCAACTCCCAGAATTCTGGGAGTTGAAGTCCATAAGTCTTAAAGGAGCCAAGATTAGAGACCACTGACCTAGAATGATCTTGGCCAGATTCTCACAGCCTCCGGCCTGAAACCCTGATCAGCAAAGAGGCTAAAAAAAAAACAAAAACTTACCATCAAGCCAGCTTCCACCGTGGGTACCAGAGTCAGCTTGCTCCCTTCCCCAACTCCCAAATCTT